ATATTTCAACAATTCAAATTTTGGCGCGTTCCGCGCTGTTGATTGCAAGGAGTGTCAAAGGGAGCTGTCAATAGAAATAACATAAAATGGATCGTGCAAAAACAGGTGTGCGTGAATAAGGTTATATAAAATATATTATAAAAAGACAATAATAGTTGAATAATAATTGTAATAAACTTTAAATGTCGTTTCTTTGTTTACAGAGAAACAAATTTTAGTTTATTTTATAAAGAAACCCTGAAAATGTCATTATATATATATAACTCACCTGTAAACAAAGAAACGACATTTAAAGTTTATTACAATTATTATATACGCGCCAAAATTTGCATTGTTGAAATATTTAATTATATTATTATAAAGAATTTCTTTATATATATATTGTGCAATCTTTCTAAATTATATTAAAATCTATATTACGTAAGTAGCTGACCCCGCAAATGTTGTTTTGACATATAAATTAAAATCACTATTAAAAAATAGATCTTAGTGAAGGAAGACTGCAAAATTAGGGTTGTATGTATTTTTAATGTCATATTATAAAAATATCAAAAAAACAGAAATAAATGTTAGGGTTGTCGCTAAAATCATTATTAAAAAATAGGGCGATATAATAGTGAAATTTTGCATTGTACGTATTTTTTAATGCCACATTATAAAAATATAAAAATAAATATTAGGGATGTACAACGTTTATCACTTAGGGGTATAAAAAATAAATAGTTGCCGATTCTCAGACCTACTGAATATGCATATGAAATTTCATAAAAATTAGTCCAGCCGATTCAGAGGAGAATTGTAGCTAACATTGTGACACGAGAATTTTATATATAAGACTAGCTGTCACGCCAAACGTAGTTTTGCCATAAAATAAAAAAAAAAATAGGGGTGGACTACCCCCTAACATTTAGGGGGATGAAAAACAGATGTTGGCCGATTCTCAGACCTACTCAATACGCTCACAAAATTTCATGAGAATCGGTCAAGCCGTTTCGGAGGAGTATGGGAACGAAAACTGTGACACGAGAATTTTACATATAAGATTATAAATACGGACGTCCGTCTGTTTGTTATATTTTCACGATTAAACTGCTCAACAGATCTTAATATTGGACGTGAGGATAGATTGCATCACGAGGACAGGCTTTATCTCAAAAAATGCAAACGAAGTCGCGATTAGCAACTAGTACGTATTTATATAAGAGTATATTTTTTTATACATTTTTTAATTGTCAACTTATTTCCACTCGTAAGCTGCTTACTTTATTTTTAGCAATACTCTTTTTGATAAGGTTTTCTGGAAGAGATTACGTTAGCGACAAGACTCCCTTTTGTACGTGTTTCTTTCTTCAATCTTTTGTTTTATTTTTCTTTGTATCTATAATTAATGTTTTTTTTTCTTTTCACAGACACAAAGTCCGTGCTCTTATTATGTTAACCTTTTACATTTCTGTTTGACTTAAATAAATAAGTAAATCTATTTTGGTCAGGCCCCATAGAACAATTTTATGGATGTCAATATATTAATATAGCAATAAAACTTTACCAAAATTAAGTACAAATATGTCAAGTATTGAGTAACTAATGAAATTTAATAATAAATTAGTCATATAATTAATTTATTAAAATAAATACTTAATCATACTATTATAATTAATGTTAGTGGAATATGTCAAGTATTAAGTAACTAATCAAATTTATTAATAAAATAAATATTATTTTATTAATTTATTATAATAAATAAATACATTTTTTTTCCATTTTATAACATTACTTTAGAAAATGGAGAGATGTAATGGAACTAAAGTAAATTTAAAACTATCTTTGTCTTTCAAAAAACTTCTTCTTACTAAGATTGAAAAGTTTGATTGATATTAAGATGAGCTCATCTCAAGGAAATTACATGTCGCAATGGATGCTGCAGAGTGCTAACTTGTGCGGCTACAGTGTAACTATCATACAGTAGTGAAACCTTCGAGACCTCATGCAGTATGAAACTCTAATTACATAAAGTTTAGATTAAATCGCATAATTCCGTTCCTTTTGGAGAGTGAATTTTTTTTTACTAGCACTAACTAAAAAATAATTTAAAAAATGCGACGGTACATAGTAGACACACTTTCCACTGTAAATTTCTTTTCGCACTACTCTAATGCAGCTGGCCTTTACAGCTTCACCGAACGGATAAAAAAGATCCTTTAAACGTAAACTCTCTATGCCTTATTCTTCTGCCTTTCTTCTTCTTCTTCCTTATATGAAAATGTTTTTTTTCGGACTACTCTACTGCTATTTTCTGCAGCTGACCTTTACAACTTCACCAAACGAGAAGGGGAGAGTGCAGATGACACTCCAAATCCGAAGAATGACTTATGGAGCGGCTGAATTCCAACTCTCACCTGAAGGATACGAGTTTAATTTGAAGGGACCCCTAGGAGTTTGTCCCTCGGCTCAGGCTGCCTTATTTTCGATCCCCGTTCGAATTGGAAGGGGGATTTATCGGAGGGGGCCGTGAAAATATGGGAAAAGTAAAATATTACGTTATTATTGAATTCTATAATACAGAACTAGATTTTCTTGTTCTCTAAATGAACTTACTAAGATAACTTTATTTATTATAAGTATAAGCTATAAGTAATTATGAAAATATATTTAAGTAAGTATTACATTAGGTTAAGACCTGTGAAGACTTAGTAAGAATAAAAATAAATAAATAAAAATGTACAATCTTGTATTTTCAACATTAAAATTATTAAGATATTTTATATATTATATATATTTTGAAGATATTTTAATATATTTTTATTACCGAAAATACTTATTATAAAGAAAAAAAGAATTATCAATAGCAATCTCAGTAAACACTAATTAGGTAACTTTATAATGTCTGTATATAGTGAATCAAATCAAATCAAAAACGTCGTTCATACAGATCTAAGAACAGTCAAATCTATGAAATTTCATTCAACTCCATCTAACACTTCAAGAATGAGTCTACCAGAAGAATACCAGAAGTTCCCAAACTTTTCCGTTTCGTTGACCCCTTGCCATATTTTTCGGTTTTGGCTAGACCCCCATTCTTACCTGGTATTAAGTTTTTGTAAATTTCCAACTATAGTAAAGTTTAGTGTTAAAAAGAAAGTAGAAAGAACAAAAAGGGAATTATTTAAAAAAAAAATTGGACTGAATCGGCTTGATTTTGGTATGTACCACGGTATACTATCTGATCCTGTATCATCGCCAGCAAAATTTTTATTTTCATTGTACAGTAGAAGATAAGATTAGTAATAAGATAGCAGTCCCATCCTATGATAAAAGTGCCTAAATAAATGTTAGAAAAAAAAATTAAAAAAAAAGAACAAGATGACCGCTATTGTAGACCCCTTACAGTTCGTCTTAGACCCCTGGGGGTCGATATAGACCACTTTGGGAATCACTGGTCTACACAAACTACCACATCTATATAATCTTAAAAAGATAAAAATATAATTCCTTTATGTAAAAGAAAATGCATTGTATTGAAATAAAGAACTATTCATCGACGTATATTTATACTGCAGTCTCTGTTACGATATCGATAAAATTTGATATAGCGACTTTCATCGATATCCCTAACGTCCCATCACTTTAACCCGTCAGTGTAATAGGATAGCGACTATTTTACGAGGACCTTTTATTCAAATTCCCAGTTCCGTTTCCAATAAGCAATTGTTGGGTACCAATATATTTTTTGGACCCTATATGCATGGTCTAGATGGAAGAATTATAAAAAATATTCACCCTCATGTTCTTTATTGAAATAATAAAACGAAATTGCTGTTGGACAATGACTGGGTGTGTTATATTTGAGTTTTATGTCAAAACCTTATATTCTTATGGTTTCAATATATGGAAATGACGACATGACTGTGTCAGTCACACGATTCCTAAAACTGGACTCACATTATTAGGTTCAGTTGGACTCCCATTACCACCTATACTATGGCGCGGGCGACAGTTACTAATTTTACATTTAACAATAGCTACATTTAAATTAATACAGTTATTAATGATTTAATATATTACGAATGTGGTACAGCTGAAATACTAAGTCATAGAATCATTTATTCAAATAAACTTACATTGAAGCACTTTTGAATAGTCATCACATTTTTTTTAATCTACCGCTCATTCGTAAAGCTGTCTCATAACAAGAAGAATGAGCAAGAAACTTGCGTGTTGTTCTTTTAAATAATTTTATTATTACTTTACATTTTTAAGTTTAAATGTGTGAATACAAACTACCAATTAGCACTGATTCAATTAAATACTCATATATTATATGTTATATATATAATATTATAAATCAGAAAGTTTGTGAGCATGGATGTTTATTACACTTTCACGCAAAAACTAGTGAACGGATTTTGACGAAACTTTACAGTAATATAGCTTATACATCGAAATAATTTATAGGCTATAAATTTCACGCGAATGAAACCGCGGGCAGAGCTAGTATGTGTATAAATACCAATACTACCATCCAATATACAAGGGTTTCATAAATTCAAATTAACAAAGTCAATATTGATATATTTCTCAGTCCACCTTTATCGACTGCACCCATGGGAATATATTGTACGATGAATATAATGGGTTCAATGTTAGATTTAGGCAAATATTATCCCAGTTCATGTATATGCTTTGTTTCTTTTTCTGTGACTTTGACCGCGTGGGATTAACCTTTTTTTTTTTACTAAAATCAATTCAAAATTCAAAATATCTTTATTCATGTAAGTCTATTACAGACTCTTATGATATGTCAAATCTATCGTCAGTTCGGTATGATTTCGAGATGAGATCGTATTCTTTTCAAATAAATGTTACAATAACACGGATTCATTATAAATTCCAATTTGGGAGAATAGAGTGACCACTACCATATGCTATTGCAAAAGCAAATACTCTAATGCTTTATACTATGTAATGATAATAAACACGAAAGTTAAAAAAACCGTACTTACATATAACAGTTAGGGAGGCGTTGGCGCGTATGACCTTATGCATCTGCGCTGGTCCCACTTGGCACTGAAACTCGGCGTCATCTTCTAAACTCGCGTTCACAATGCGCAAATTGTAGACACCGTGTCGCCGGTCGCCGAACATTGTGTAGCGAGGATATCCGGGGATCACAGATGAGAAGCCTGTAAAAGAAATATATAATTAAACTAGCTGACCCGTACAACTTCGTCTGCATTACACTTATCGTTATATTTCGCCCAATGTACATTATATTATTTTAACTTATAGCCTATATGTTAGTAAAGTTTCATCAAAATAGTATCGAAAGAGTAACAAACACCCACACAAACTTTTGCGTTTATAATATTAGTGGGATATGAATTTTACTACACGTAGAGTTTATATAAAGTCAGCTGCGTCAGTCAGTCAGTCGTAAAGCAGTTTCGTAAACTCAGCTTCGGTTTTTTCCGGATAAGATAATGCATTGAAATTACAAACAAAAGCTAAAATTTTAAATTAAAAAAAATATTTATTCATGTAGGTTTTTAAAAGGATTATAATGGAATGGTGCACCCGCCTGCGCTAACGGTTTACACTGGCGGGGCACCAGTGGAGGATGATAAGATGAGCATGAGGTCAGGTCAGTTAGCACATCGTGACAAATTCACCAGAAATTTGTCACGATGGTTTCCAGGGGGAACCGCGTGGAGGTCAACCTGACATGGTACATTGTTAGCAATGGGGTTATCAATCCACATTACTAACAATCCCTTTTCCCCCCCAATTCATGTAGGTTTATAACAGACACTTATGGGAGGGAAGGGGATTGTTAGTAATGTGGACTCATGACCCCATTACTAGCAATGTACCATGTCAGGTTAACCTCCACGCGGTTCCCCCTGGAAATCATCGTGATAAATTTCTGCTAAATATGTCACGATGGGCTAACTGACCTGACCTCATGCTCATCTTATCATCCTTCACTGCTGCCCCGCCAGCGTAAACCGTTAGCGCAGGAGGGTGCACCATACCATTATCATCCATAAAAAAAAACAGACACTTATGACATGTCTAATTACAATCAATCTATATTGTATATACGAGATAGTGTAACAATTACACTATTACTTAGAGAACATCTTAATATAATAACTTATACATTCATAATCTCAGTTCACTGGATTGACTATATATAACTGGTACTAGGGCCACAGAATGGCGGGAAGTCGGTAGCGCATTTTATGTATATGGGTAAAACTTCCCACACTTCCACCAAACGGGCCGTCAACTTATTTGAAAAAAATAAAATTCTGGACAATTAACACATATAGTCTCACGGTAATATTAACCCCTCCGATCGATCCCCCGTCCAATTCAAACGGGGATCGAAATTACGACGGCCTGAGCCGAGGTTCGAACCCCTAGTGGTGCCCTCAGACTAAAGTCGTATCCGTCATCATCATCGTCATCCGTCATCTGCACTCGCCCCTAACGTCCGGTGAAGCTCTAAAGGCCAGCTGCGGCCAACATTAGAGTAGTCCGAAAAAAAAAAATTGTCTAGTAACACAAGCACAGAGCTTGTAAACAAATTACATATATAAGTACTTAGATTTTTGATAGACCGATACAAACAATCATACTCATGACTATAAATGTTTGTACCGTGCGAGGAATCGAACCCACGGATCGGAAGTAAAGCTTTTGCTTTAAAATCAAAATAAATTATATTAACATATTAAATAAATGTATAACAATTATTCAAATATATTCATAAACTTCCAACAACAAAATACCAGATGCGATTTATTCGCAATTAAGTAAACAGTGTAACCGAGGTTTTACGTTGCGTGAATCAACCAGGATTATCTCCCGTCAACCGATTAATTCCTACCATTTATATCGATTTCGTGGCATTTCTATTCAAAAACAATTAACCGGTACCATCCCATTCGATTACCGCGACTAAATAATTTTGTGCAAGACGCCCAAGTCTGATTGAATTTCGATTATTATCGATTACGCAATCGATTTCTTAGGTGATAAATTAATTCGATTTTAATTGCTAATCGATTTTAGGATTTTTCATTAGGCATCTAATAATTAAATTTATATATACCTTTTTAACATTTAGAGTCTGCGCAATGAAGCTAGTATCCTTACATTTTAAGCTTCTATCGATAACTTCGGACTATTTTTTTAACTATGCCTATCACCGAAAGAAAATGGGCAAGTAGAAAAGACACTCCAAATCTGAGGATGTGGTTAAAGAGGTCCACTATCCCATTCAAATAAGGATCGAAATTAAAACGGGTTTAGCCGAGATTCGAAGACCTAGCGACATCCTTAAACTGAAATCGAATACGTCAATGAGCCTATGAGGTAACCTTCGGCCGCTCTACAAGTCCTTGCAGGTTTGTGGTGAACTCTGCACTCCATATCGTCTGGTAAAGCTGTAAAGGCCAGGGGCGGCCATTAGCATAGTTCTAAAAGCCAATAAATGTTGGTATACACATTACTCTGGTACTAGTACACTTATTATTAGTAATACACTAGCTGTGCCCGCGGTTTCATCCTCATATTTGAAATTTATAGTTTACTAGCAGACCCGGCCACGCGTTTTGTGTTGCTAAGGTAAGGTCTGTGGCTAAGGTTCTTGAATAAAATAATATTTCGACTATAAATTATTGAGAGCTAAGCTATCCTATCTTTCAAGTTGGATAATTGATATACAATTGCACTAAATGTGCAAATCAAATTTGCGATCGGTTCAGTAGTTTACGAGTCTATCACGGACAAACGTGACACGTAATTTATATATATAGATGTGTTATTCTGATGTATAAGCTTTATTACTCTATATTGAATTTTTGATACATTAATTTTATAGTCTGTCACACAGATATACATGTCCATATCTTGGAATTCATTCACAAAAGTGTCTATTTATACAGTAAAAGCCGCAGGAACAGCTAGTGTTGTGTAAGTGGAACACAGAAAGGCACAGCAGTAGCAATAAATGCCACGGTTCATAGGATCTCTGCTTCCAAAGCACCTATATTGTACGTTGTATACACTAAAGTTTGTGGTACAAGTAATACGCTATAGCGATTAAATTTTATCATGTAAATTTTTTATATTCTTTTATTTTTGGCTGTATCTGTATTCCGAATAAGTGGTTTAATAAAGAAAGGACTGTATAGAAATGTTTATATTAAGTTTATTTTAATAATAAAAATGGCATTACTTATTCCGTGTGTAAATAAATAATTATTATAATAATTCATTATACATATATATATGTATACATATTATACATACTTTGTGTTATTAAATATTGTCCTTTTTTATAATATTTAAAGTTAAATAACAAATACTAGTATTTTTTAAGTATTCAATCAATTTAAGTAATCATTAATTTACTGAATTATTTTTAACGCAATGAATAAATATCTATTTAGATGTACAAGTCTTCAAATACATACAAGTTAACTAATAACTTCAGTTAAAATTAAAAAGTGCAGTGTATAGATATACAAATATTTAACTGTATAAAAGTTAACTGATAACTTATATATAATGTAAATATAAATAATATATTGTTCACTATAAAATTAAATATTGTCGCTGTAAAAGTAAAAAGTAAAGAAAGGACTTAACACCCTAATCTCAGGAATGACTGATTCGAACTAAAATTTTATTAGTGTTGGAAAACCTATATATGTAAGTTAGAAAGCTATACAACATCAGCTACGGCCAATAAAATTGTAGCAATAAAAATGTTGCAAATATCAGGCGTGCATAGGCTACGGTAACCGTTTACTTGTTTGGCACCTATGTAGTATAAAAAAATACAATAATTTATGGAAACTATACACGCTGCCGCTTATAAATTAGACCACATCAGACAGGTCGGGTATGAGCCGTCACCTAGCAATCGATTTGCAATTGGCCTATTCAGGCAGTTTGTATCAATACATTGTTTACCTAAACATGCATTTAATAGATCTCAACTGAACATCAATCACCTACCTACTCGTATTAGTAATGAAATAATTAACATTATCTTCATACTTAGATGTATGGATGTTTGTTACTCTTTCACGCAAAAACTACTAAATGAATTTTTAATCACTTTACAATAATATAGCTTCTACATCAGAATAACACATAAGTTATAATTTTCACGAGGGTGAAACCGTAGGCACAAGTACGTGTCTATATATAATGTTTAAAAATAATGTTTCAACTCACCTAGTGCAAACCCGTCCTTGGCCCATTGTACCTGACCAGCTAGATTGGCCACAGCACATTCTAGCACGGCTTCATTGCCTTCCTGCACTCGTAAGCTCCGAGGTACGATTCTGAAGTACTGTTGCTGGAAGCCAGCGACGCAGACCAGCACTGAAACAAATGGAAATAGACATATTAATATCATAATCTTTACACGAAAATTAAATTTGGATGAATTTTACATTAGGCTACGATATAAGACTTGGCTATTTCAATCCAGTCATAGCTTAACTGAAAATAGTAATAATAGTAGAAATAAAATTAATAAAAATAAACAATGATATAAAGTTCTCAGCGTCGGTTGTACAATGTTAAAAAATAATCAAAGACTAGCAATCGCCACAACATTGTCTATATCAGATCAAGGCCCAAGGTGGGCAATATAGTCAGGTCTTTGTTGTTGCAAGCGTTTACAAAATAAATAAAAATAACCCATTGAAAAGAATCAGTCTAAAGTTACTACCCTTGGACGCAAACGTAATATAGAACGAATATACGCTCACGAAAGGACGTGATGAATTAAAACTCACTTGATCCACTCATTTAGCGGCCTCGGTAGTCTACCGGCAGTTGGCTGCCTTAATTTCGATGGTTATGAGTATTGTTTTTCGAATTGGACTTTTTTTTTATTTTTATACTACTATGGTGGCAAACAAGCATTCGGCCCATCTGATGGTAAATGGACTGTAATAATAATAATAATAATAATAATAATAATAATCTCAGGACAATTCACACAGCGCCATCTAGACCCAAGTTAAGCTAGCTAAAGCTTGTGTTATGGGTACTAGATAACTGATACAAATACATAGATATTTTTTTTTTTTAAATACATACATATTATATATAGAAAACACCCAGACCGATACAAACAATCATACTCATGAATACAAATGTTTGTGCCGTGCGAGGAATCGAACCCGCGACCATCGGTCGTAAAGCGGTGTACTAGACCGCTGGACCACCGAGGTCGTCAACTGTGTTTATTACGTACGTATTTAAAAATTTGCATTAAATTATTTACGCGACCGTAACGCTGTGTGACTCACGATACCCTTAGGATTGGAGAAACATTATTAAAATATAGAAATAGAAATAATCTTCACACAAAACTTAATATAAGCACTTTTGAATAGTCACATTTTTTTAACCATAGAAGCAGACTAAGTAAGAAATGTGTGTGTTGCTCTTTAGAATAATGATGATGATTAATAAGAATTTAATATACATGAACATGGAGACCTGACCTGACAAATAAATGAGCCAACAGAAGTAAATGTAAATGAAGAAAACATCAAACATAAGTAAATATTTGTATTCGTAGAAAAACCATTACTGTTGATCTCAGAACGTGACGGGTTCCACAAAAGGTCAGACGTAAAGTAACATTCTTATGACTTGTAACCAGAACCATGGTATAACATGTCGTTCTCGTGTTAGGTGAGGGGACCCTAAAAATAAGACAAAGGACCCTCATCAACTAATACGATAGCTGAAGAGCGGAGTGGGCGTCAAGTGGGTATACTTACAAGGAGACAGTTTGCGAGGTGAATGCTCCCCGCAGATATGGAGTTTGGTGGTCGGAGGTAGCGGGGAGCGGGTAGAATAGCGGATAGAGCAAAGGGGAGCGACAGATCAGATCTTGGTAATATTTTTTCTACATATTCGAATTTATGATTCGAATAGATATTTTATAGCTAGAGAAATTTTATTCATTAACCCTGAGGTCATAGGGTGATTATAGAAGGTAGATAAAACTAATGAAGATAACTATAAAATGTTTCTTTAGAAACTGACATAACTGGATGAGACCGTTTGTAGCTAATTATTGGAGGAAAATTGTAATTATAGTTGGACAATCAGATATGCAAAAATTGACAAATATAAATTTAAAAAAAACTTTATTCTAGATATATTTTATTTATATTAAATATAAACTATAGTTTCAATTTAATATAAATACAAGGGAAGAGGCATGTGCATTAAACCACTATTAAAAATGAAAGATTCTCTCAATATTATTATATTTTCTGCATATGCTATACGATATGTTTGCTAACTTTAAACTAATTCTGATATATTTTAAATATATAGCACAAATCAAATAAAATATCATTATTCATGTAGGTATATTACAATCTCTTATGATATGTCAAAACTAAAAGTGCTTTCGAGGTAAGATGAACTGAAAAGATACTCATTTGAGTTCATTTGAGCTTAAATTATAATAATTAGTTTGAATATTCAAGATGATTTCATTTATGTTAGCAGAATACGAAGAAAGTTTGTTAATTAAGCTTTAAATTAACGAAGTGAAAGCCTTCCTCGAACCCGCTTCCGCTTATGACAAACACCACATTAAGCATGGTGCACACTGCATGACAGTAGATGAAGAGACACTACACATGCGAGGAGACAAGCGCGTGAAAATTAATAAGACGTAGTTGTTTACGAGCTTCGAGCTTTACCGACTGCAATCGTGTTAAATAGGGTTATGTTATAAATATTTAGAACTAGCTGTCCCGAGCAACTTCGTGTATTACTTACTTTATATTTATCATTACATTTCGCCCAATTTACATAATATTTTTAAATTATAGCCTATGTTATTCTTATGTATAATTTATATTACTGTAAAGTTTCATCAAAATCGATGAATTTTTATAAGTACACTCTGCAGGACAGAAATTAGGTTATTATTATTTTTATATCCCTACATGATAAAAGAGGCTCACCCCAAAGAAATTCTTAATTTTCTTTTTTATGACTCCACATTAAAACTGACTCATACAAACATTTATACTCATGAATATATATTTGTATCTTACGAGGAATCAAACCCGCGACCATTGAAATTAAAGTGGTATGCTAAACCGCTACACCACAGGGGAGGCCATAAATAGTGTAAGACTAAAAATATCTACTCTTAAGTACTATTTAAAACTCTTATATATATACTAATGTAAAAGTTTGTAAAAATGTTTGGTCGTTTCTTAAATAATCGCACTTAAGCTGACTTAGGAATTTATTCAACTTTTCTTTTATATCTTCTTTTACTTTTTTCTTGTGATTATTAAATACTTTCGTAGTTTCACCTGCGTTCAGATCAATAATAATAATAATAATAATCTCAGGACAATTCACACAGCGCCATCTAGACCCAAGTTAAGCTAGCTAAAGCTTGTGTTATGGGTACTAGACAACTGATACAAATACATAGATATATTTTTTAAATACATACATATGATACATAGAAACCACCCAGACTGATACAAACAATCATACTCATGAATACAAATGTTTGTGCCGTGCGAGGAATCGAACCCGCGACCATCGGTCGTAAAGCGGTGTACTAGACCGCTGGACCACCGAGGTCGTCAAGATCAATAATATTATTTCTTTTATATGAATGGCTGAATTTATTTTAATTAAAGGTTGTCTGAAGGAAATCGCTTTAGCGCTAAGACCGCCTTTTGTACCTAGCCTACCTTTCTTTTTTTTTTTATTCATTATTGCACTTTAAAAGAGTGTACAAGAGGACAATGCCATATGGAATTCTCTACCAGATAACCTTTGGGTAGAACTAGAAAGTGTTGTAGGGCAGTAATGGCAAAAATTTGTGATATTAATACTGTAATAAATAATTAATTCGAAATTTATTTATTATACCTTTCTGTATACTATGAATATTGTTTTTTTTTTGTATTATTTTAAGGTGCAATAAAGAGTTATAAATAAATTTATTACGCATACTAGCTGCACGCACGATTCGTTCACGAGGAATTTTGCAACATTTCTTTATTTTTCTAAAATAAAAGTAGCCAAAATTACTCCTTATTACATTAGTTACCTGCTAATAAAAATCCCGTCAAAATCGGTCCAGCCATTTCAGAGATTAGCCGGAACAAACAGACAGACAGACAAAATTGTAAAAAATGTTATTTTGGTGTATGTACCGTATTTATATTCATATGCATGTAGTAAAAAATGGTTATTTCAATATTACAAACAGACATTCCAATTTTATTTATATGTATAGATAAAACATATTATTTTACAGGAGCAAAACCCTTTGTAAATTTACATAGCGTCGATAATAAATTTTAAAACATTTTAAAAACATATGTAAAAATATATGTAAAAATACTTGCAATATTAGAACATTAATTTCTATACAAAATAAATAAAATTGTAATATACATTATTTTGAAATTGTAATTTCAAATTAATTTATTTTTATGTAAGTAAATATATCAAAAGTATATATAAGTAGTATATATAAAGTATATAGTAAGTAAGTACATATATCAAAAATTTTATTTAAAATATTTCAGTTTGTCTGTCTGTTTGTCTTGCAAATCTCTGTAACAAGTACGATTATCAATTGCAGATAGCTAATGTTATAAGGAGTAACTCAGGGTATTGTGATTTAAAAAAAAAATATTGTCATTAATAAAAAAAGCATATATTCCACGCTGTACAAAGACTCGGATTTTGTAACGAATGTAACGGATTTTGAAGCGATTTTTTTAATAGATAGAGTGATTCAAGAGGACGGTTTATATGTATAATACATGTACACCCGTACGAAGCCGGGGCGAGTAGCTGGTATACAATATAATATGAAACCAACATAACTAAAACTATAAGAACGTAACTAACTATAACTACATATAATATTTAATATCAAACCAATTACACGTTACCTGCACGAGGATTAACAATATAATATCCGTTCTACGGATACGCCGTTCCTAATCCCATCACTAAACCCACACATACGCAATACGTCATTATAAACCGGGAACTCGACAATTACGCGCGTACTTATTTAAATAACACTGCACACATAGAGACAACATATTGATACGTGCAGTCAAATATAATCTATATTACGTACGACATTGGATTGGAATTCGTTTAAGTTGGTCGATATTATAATGATGCGGAATGTCGTAGTCGATAGTTACAAACAGGTTCAAGGAGCGCTTATTACTTTTGAATTTAGAACGGTTGCGGTCGAGGCGTAAGTAAGGGGAGGTGTTGTATGGCGGAAATATAAGATACGCTGTCGTAAAGAAAATGGTATTTATTGTAATTACGATGTTCGG